TAAATAGGTATGGATACTTGGAATGACTTTGATAGCTTTAGTAATTAAACACTTTTTTAGCTAGGTAATTTAAATGTTTACGACAAGAAATACAATCGCTAATGTCACAGAGTAGTGTTGCATAGAGTAAGTATATCTATAGTTAAAAAAAACATTGAGTGAAGACGATATAAATAATTAAATCAAGTGTGAGAAAATTTAAATAAGGAGCGAAGTTCAAGTATACTCAACAGACTTCAATATCATGATGTTATAAAGTCGTAGATGGCCTGAAACTCACTCGCTTAAGCGTTTTTTCCATTGTTTATAATAGGAAAATCCAAGAAAATCACCTTGAGACTCCTAAACATGCACATGGATATGTTAATAATCAGGCTATAATAATCAATGAATCTAAGAGACTTGATCCATTGTGAATAAAACGTTGTGAATTGTGTGGTACTGAATTATTTATACCTGTATATTATATTTAACGTAATTAAGGGAAAATATTTGATGATACCGAATATCAATCAACTGTCAGTGCCGTTGCAGATTAATTATTATTATAAGCCACAACGCAAGCTAGAAAATCAGCTAATAGTATTATATAAAAGTTTCTTATTCCTTCAATATACTATGATGAAATAAATCTATATATTTTATGACCTGTTTAGAGACATTTGCAACACGGAGCACAGGGTGTGATGACCATAAACTGCGTTTTAATTGGTAAATCTCTAATCAGCAGGTGACTCTCCGACATACGACTATGGGATGTAATCATGATATCCGCCCGTGTTTAACAACTTCCCAAAATAACAAGGACGTAAACTTTTGCTTCACTTGCATTAAAATTTTTAGTAGTGTCAGCAAAGTGGGAACTTTCGATGCCTAGAGTTAGTTCTCAAATGATAATTATTTCTTGTTCTAATTAATGACTTGAGATAAAATAGTAGTTTAGGACAGTAGTTTGGCAGACCCTGGCTAAAGCTGGGAAATTGCCAGGAAGAAGAAGAAGTAGTTTAGGACAGATTTCCATAACTATGCGACTTGAGATAACCTTCGCTTTTGAATAAATAGTGAAGCTGTTATGCTCATTTCGACATCAAACGGTTTTGTAATAAAAGTAAGAAGTACCCATTTAGTGATTTTTCTTAAAAATACTTAATTTTATTGCTCTTTCTGTCAAGTTATGATCATAACTTTTATACTATACCAAAAAATGATAATTTAAATAACTCACATTAAAATAGCTTCCTGCCACTTTCACTGTTTGAAGTACTCCGAACATGGGAAACATAAACAAAGGTATGAAACCGGCAGCTGGCGCTGCCATAGGTTGTATAAGCATAAACCAAAACATCAGCATCCAGATACATCTTACTGTTATATCATGCTGTAATAGGCGCAAATTATCTATATTTTTTTCTATGGTGTTCAGATATAGAAGAATGTGTAAAACTTACCCTTCCTTTTGACGGCTGCCATGACAAGAGAAAAAGAGGAACGAAGACACCCAGTAGTCCTCTAAAATGAACTCTAAAAATATTCTTAATTCTTGGTGGAAAACCAGTTACCGGTGTTCGGGGATCTTTTTTCGACCTTGTGAACAGAATAAAACGTTAAATACTATCAATTTAAATGTACTCTCAATATATACTAACAGCCAACAATAAATATATATAACTAATTAAATCACACAACATAATGTAAACAAAGTTTCCACAACTGTGTAATCAGGAAGTGAACATACTCTCGTATCAAAAAAAAGAAACTAAAACATACAAAAAAATTACAGCTACAAGTGTTAATTCAATAACATTAAATAGAGAGGAAAACATAGTATATTAGTATGTAAATATATGTATTTTATGGGATTGTCTCCATTCTCCTTGAAAATGTCAGTATAGTTGAAAATCTCAATACAGTAACACCTGATTACATGATTGAATGATTATTTACTCAGTAGATATACAAAATCCTATAACTTAATTATTAATAAGTCGATACAGGAATATTAATTAATTATTATTTACAAATTATATAGTATGAACAATATAAGAGTAACGTTTCTAATATCCTGGTTTCGTTACAAAATAAATTTAAGATGAAGCTATCATATTTTTTATGACACGTATCGTCTTTGCAGCTTCAACTATAAAAATATTTTTCTAAGATATTTCAACTATCGAAGTAAGCTAAAAAATTTTGCTATAGGGCGGAATAGAGTTCGCTCGGATAGCTACACATGTATTACTAATTTTGAAATAAACGCAGACAAAGTCGCAGATAAAAACTAGTAAATTGTAAACCGGGAAGAGCTCCTGAACAATACAATAATTTTTTTGCCTTTTAATATTTTCTTGAAATAGATCTTATGAACACATTGGTTGTAATGCCAGTGCATATGGGGCCTGACTAATCTTATTTAGTGTTTTGACATCAGCTTTACTCTTAAGCTATTGTTTTCGATATTTGTTTGCATTATCAATCATGCATCTAAATCAGACGTTTTTCTAAGTGGCGTAAGGATTTCCCTTACACAAATCAGACTTTTTAAAAGTGGTTTTGTGTACTATGTATTTACTAATCACTTTATTTGGGACAAGAGAAACAAATGACGAATACGAGCTACTTCATTGCCCGACACTTTTTACTTATTGTACATTATTTTTTTAATTTTGCTCTTATACTGATTTATTACTTTCAAATAAAAAACTATATTCTTACCCAGTAAGCCAAGACAAAACGCTGAAAAATAGAAAATATTATCGATATGTGATCATATTATTGGTAATATTAACCAAATATTAAAAAACTTACGATCCCATTGTATTTCATATATATTGATACCAAGAACGATACAATATGCCAAGTAAATTTGACGCCTCAGTTTTGTTCATAAAAATATAAATTTAAAATAATTAGAACTATTACATAAAAAGTTTCTATGCATTATGATAATAAAATAGATAATTTATAAAATAGAAATAAAGTAATAAAATTATAATTATATATAATATTCTTACAAGTGTAACATAAAATGTTGGTTAAATTAAAAATCTTTGTTTAATAATATTTTTCTTTCCATTATATTTTAAGTTCAAATCAAGCATAAACAATCCATCCATCTACTGTTAGATAAGTTTAAATTTTACAAGAACCCGTGTTATGTCTTATTTCAATGAGCTAATTGGTTATTCATATGGAACTTTTAGCCTGTTTTCCTTATTAAAATTATTTTAATTTATTGTGATAATATGTTTTACTATTGTACATAATTATTTATGCCTTATCAACCTTGATAAACAAAAATCCATTCTCTAAGAGTACAAGTTTATGACTATTTTTTTTTGTTTTGGAATAGATTCTAACTTTAATTAGAAAATTTTTATTTATCATAACTGTCTCAAAAGTTAAAAGTATTATCTAATAATTATAATATTCACACCAGTGACTTCCTCTGTTTCGTTTATTTAGAAATAATGCTATTATTTGATGTAATGTTATCTTTCAACTCTTTAATACTGTATTATTTATAATACAGTATAAATGTAGTCTCACTAAATAACTAGAGTTACCTCAAATGTTATGTATAGCTTTATCTCATATATTAACTTCTTATAAGTGTTCCTGCCTAAAATTTCTTAACCTTATGCTATCCTAGAATTTAAATTGTTTATCTAAAGTCATACCTTGAAACGACCATAGTTTTTATATTTTGGATAGGTTTTGAATAGTAGAGTGTATAAAAACCTAAAGTTTTTATATATTTGCTTTATAACGTGGACAACATTTTTGAGCAAATAATGCAATATAATCTCTCTGCTGGCTGCAAACATAATTTTTAATATTATTGATAAATTCATAATAGTGAAGAGGAAGACAATGATGCTTTAAAGTCACAAAAAAAACTTGATAAACAGTTTAATAGAATTTGTTGCACGTCACCCTTTAATCTGTATAGTAACGAATGGTCTGTTTGCTTTTAGAGACTGAATGATGTGCTAAATATATCTCGATGTTGTGTTGCTTACTCAAGTTTGTATCTGTAGATTAATTTTAAAGTAGGTCTCAAATTACGGCTTAGTGATTTTATTCTTTAAAGCAGTCTCTTTGAATTATTCTTTCAAGCAGGAGTATTAAATGTTGAATTGTTCTAAGGACCTGTAGAAAAAAGTACATTGGTAATATTATTATTAATACTTTTTTGTATAGTTTATGTATTAGGTTGAAAAAAGCATATACATAAGTTCAAAACAAAAATCTATGAAGTATTGTATGGAAAATTAAATGAAATAACCCAGATAACCTTAACTTGAAGAATAGATAAATGGTAAAAAAGTCTTTTTAAATTCATTGCCTTGTATAAATGCTCATTTAATAACTTCGACATTTTTGTTACATATATTTTACGATATTAGTACACTACATTCATTTTGTGTCCGAAAAATTTTTTGGCAAACTTGGATTGAGTTTGCATTACTATTAATTTTGCATGTTTGGGCATGATGTAACTATTTGGGCACAATATAATTATTATATTAATAGTAATGGAACTATAATTGACATAATATGGAATTCTTGGTAAGATTAATTGGCTTAAACATGATACCACTTTTAGCGCTTGCAATCTGAGAAATTTCAATAATTCGATTTCAATTATTTGTGTGAAAGGTTTTAATATTAGGTTTTAATAAATTTTTGTAATCTTTAATAATCAGGATGGTCATCGATATCATGTCGTATGTATATAAATCTTCATATTTTTCTTTAAAGATCTTTATTGATGGTGTAATAAAGAAATATAGTTTACATAAATGGCAGTATTTATTTAAAGGAATCTTAACATTCAAAACTTTTTATGATACTTGTCGCTTAAATTCGTTAATTTATAAATCACTTATTGACCTCATTTCTGGTGGTATAACATTTGGAAACATGATAATGCAAAATGTTTCCCCTATTTACAATTTGTATATAATACATCGATATGATTTAAAGACTCATTTTATGAATCAGACAGGAGTAGTTCTGCGGTATGGATCAGTGCCCACAGCCCGGTCATGTCGAGTTGGTATTTCTTCTACTGCCGTCCTCACACCAGCACCAAAAGTTACCATTTCCTCTTCTCGAGGTGGCTGTTCAACAACAGTATTATCCAAAAATCTTCCGCTAGCTACTGAAGCTGTAGACTGAAATATAGAAGCACTCCTTAGACCACTCAAAGTGTTGGCGCTCTGTGGAATTTCTTTTAATTCTTCGAAATAATTATCACAAGCTGTTGGTCGAGGTGCAGCTGGAAAACCATAAAGCGTCGAAGATGACAAGTCCTTTAGAGATGTGGAGCTTAAATTTATCCTTCTGTGTTTATGTATGGAACAATGTGGAAGATCATCATCGTCATAGACAAAACGTCTTCGCTCTCTTGGTGTTGCTGCTGATGATCCACTAGGAGGGTACGTGTCTCTTTTCATAATTCGCCTATCTAGTAGTGTTGGTTCTCTTTCTCTTAAGTCTGAAAAAGCATATTCTCGGTCCCAAGCTCTGCAATCTGCCTTCGCTTTATCGCATAGTTCTGTAATCCAGTCTTTTTGATACCATTGTAGGAATAGAAAGATGGCAGATGTTCCTGCCAATTCAACGGCAATAAATCCACTAATATATAGACCAAACGAGTAACCATAGCTATATGACATACGCGGAGCATCAAAATAAGCCATGTAACGTAATTTATGGCCTAATTGTGACTTAAAAACAGATATGTACATGACGATCCCGGTTAACATTATAAGACCTAAAATGAGAAATTATAATTTAAATTTAACGTTTTTTTATATTTATTTCATAACTAGTAGTTATATTTATTGTTCATATCTTACCAGAAATTATAAATAGAACACCAGCAATAAATGTACAAAGTCGTCTTCCTTTCACACAATGTCCCAAGACACAACATAATGCTCCAACTGCTTGTGTTAAAACTGCTAGCAGTAGAGGTATAGCTGATCTCGTCACTACATCTGAAAATAGATATTTTACTGGTTATAAAACATATAAGTATAAATGTGTGTAAAAAATTGAATACATATATAGGGTGTCCCAACTAGAACGCAATTTTTAAATTTTAAATAAAACACTGATATAAAAAAAAAATATCGTGAAACTTTATTATATCGTAAAGTAGATAGAATGAGGTTATGTATGGAACAAGATATAGTGCAGATGGCCGCCGCGGCTTTGCAGGCACACGCGCGAACTTTGAATGAAATTTTCTAGGACCGTTTTGCATAAATACTGCGGTATTTCATAAATACAGCGTCCAATTTCCTCTTTTAAGGCTTGAGTCGTCGTCGGCTTATTCGCGTGAACCCTCGACTTCAAAAAACCCCAAAGAAAATAATCTAAAGGTGTTAAATCGCACGATCTAGGCGGCCTATTCTGGTCTCCAAAACGAGAAATAACATGACCAGGAAATGACTGATGCAGCAATTGAATTGTTTCTCTGGCTGTATGACATGTGGCGCCGACTTGTTGAAACCATATGCCGTCCACATCCATTTCTTCGATTCTAGGCAAGAAAAAACTGGTAATCATTTCACGATATCGAACACCATTAACTGTTTGCGTTGTTGTTGTTGTCTTTACATCACTAACAGACTCAGTTTCGGCAAATTTATTCATTAATCTCTTTACAGTTGACTCTTTTTGAGTAATTTGCGAACTGTAGCCGCAAAACTTTCACCATTTTGGTAAAACAATTTTACAATGAAAATGCGTTGTTCATTCGTGTAGCGCTCCATTTTTACAAACCTTGTACCTTCTACAAGCAAATAATAACAATTGTTCAAATGTCAAACAATGGCACTTAAAATGGAGCCAAAGTTAAAAATTGCGTTCTTGTTGGGACACCCGTTATAATACAAAAATAATATGTAATGACTTTCAGTAGATAATTACCATAATAGTAATTTATAACTTAATTTTAGAACTAAGAGGTAGACGACGGACGTGAAAATTACTAAATGTTTTTGATTACTATACCATTACTAATCGAATAAACTTGCTTGAACTTTTATATGATATTATATTGTTAAGATAATTATAATCGTCTTAATGAGGAGTTAGAGCAATATATTAAAATTTACATCTTCCTCACGACCTATAAAAATAATAAAAATGTTTAAAGTACATATATTTATGTAATTACTCACATGGTATAGCATTAGTGGAATCGCTCGGATCAGGTGTATATTGAGATAGTGGAAAGTATGGAATATCTAGACATCGATAAACAGTGCTGCCAGCTGAAATTAAAAGTATTATTTTAAAATATTTTTTGTAACATAAATGTATTTTATAGCCAAGTGGGTTTTAACTATCCCAGTCATAGCCGATCATTATTTTACGAAGGTGAAGTGAATGACATAACCAGTTGAGTGATTGGCTTATACTTATTTAATACCAAAATTAAAAATTTTCCATCTTGATACTATTATGTAATAAGTTATTTATCCTCTAAATGTGATTAAATTATTTTTCCCGTTTTACTTTTAATGCCGTTTTATAGCAATGGAAGATTTTACACCCACTAACAATTTTTTTTAATTCGTTACACAATTTAATAACAATAAAACAATTTCATTTTATATATTTAATATCGAACAAAGATTTTTTCCTTATTTATTTGGGTGTTTCACATATTATTAAGAAAGGCTTTAGCAATTAGTGCTAACAAATAAAGCAAAGAAAAATCTTTACAGTATAATACTAACGATCGGTATAACAAATCCGCCAAAGTCCTGATACGGTATGTTTTGCAAGAATTTCATATTTTCCAGTTTCATTTGGACTCGGATTTAACATATTCTCTTGGGTATGTAACCAGTTATTTGTTGTCACGGCTATGAGGACCGCAACCACAGCAGTACCAGCCGATAAAGGAGTGAGCAGCCATAGACACGCGACGGACGAGTCGATTTGAGATACTAGCGTTGGTGATGGAGGTATAGGCCTGTAAAATTTATAAGTAATAACAATTAGAATTCATTAAAATTATTGTATTAAAAAAAGAGACTGCGAAAAGTAACCGATACGTCGCGTCTGGAGTATGTAGTTTTTAAAATAATAAAATAAAATAAAATATTCATTTAAGATACTACGAATTATCTTCTCTTGTTGATTTAAAAGTATAAAATTCATTTAGTAAACAAATGATGAAATATGAATAATTATATATTCTGCAATTAACTGTATTCATTATGTTGCGTTGTCATTTATTAATCACTAATCTTTTATTACTATCCTTAACTGTCAATAACTTAAAGTACCTTAGTTTTTTTATTTTTATATCTATGATTTGTGTTTTGTATAAAAATAATAATTTATATGTGTACTATATAGTTATATTAATATTTTAGTTATATATATACATCGTTATCACGGAATATTTAATATGGAGGCGGTGCCACTAGTAAGCTGTAAGTAAGAAATTCAGAGGATAAATTTCTTTACCTTTAGCATTGAATTGAACAATTAGAAGCAGCAAATATTATTAAAGTACCTGGGTGGGCGACGGCTGGCAATGGCCCCGCTAAGGGTCGGGGCAGGCTGGGCGCGAGTACCGCGCGGGAGCGACGAGTGCATGCATTGCGCGCCGCCGCCCCACATGCCTTGCCGTCGCTTTACTGAAACATCAATAAAAATAAATTTTAACATACAATTGGCTGTGAGAGGTCTATACTGGTCCAGTCAGAAATAAATATCTTTGTATTTTTAGGTAGAACTTTTTTTTGCAGTATCATCATCATCATCATCATCATCAGCCTATTAGACACCCACTGCTGAGCGAAGGCCTCTTTCTCACATGGAGAAGGTTTGAGCAATAATCACCACGCTTGCTCAAGACGGGTTGGTGATTTCAAACTTAAAATTGTGAAACTATAAGCCCAGGTTTCCTCACGATGTTTTCCTTCACCGTATGTCAGTGATGTCTAAATACTCTCAGAAAGTACATAAGACTTCGAAAAATCACATTGGTACTTGTCAGGTTCGAACCCGCACCCTCCGCAACGAGAGGCGGGCCCCTTAACCACCACTGACTTTGCAGTATATTGCAGTATATACAATCATTATTATAAAATATGTAAATACAGCTGGAAAAAAAGTATAAATTAATTGACGCAAATTAGACTTTGAATGATCTGGATATTAATATCAAATAAGTAATATTATGTACATAGGTACATTGTGTTTGAAGTTGAAATAATAAAATAATATCGAATCTTTACTAAATGGTATAAACTTTATTTTTTATTACATCACAACTGGTGAAATGTAATAAAAGTAGGTTTGACTGGGCAGAAATTATATTCGTACTTTGAAATAAACATGACACTCTGCTCATCGGCTTCCTTCGATTATTCTAGGTTGAAAATTTTACAATAAACATCGGAAAAAGACATTACATTGTCAACTTATAGATTTCTTATTAATTTATATAGTTTTCAAAATATATGATATAATTACTACATTGGATAATTCCGTTTTGTTAAATGTGAAACAAAATATCGATTTTTTTTTTATATTCAGTCTTATAATATTTGAAATATTTTTAACAGCTTTATATAAACTATGATCATGAATGAGTAACAGTTCTTACTGTTAAGGTAAATAAAAGTCAATTTATTATTATAAAATAAAATGACGTTTTCTTTTCAAAAACTATTATTGACTCTCCTAATATATAAATATACTACTTCATTTAGCCCTAAATATAAATATATTTTAAATTGAATTGTGATTGTGTTAAATATAAACTTCAAAGCTGAATATCCTATGTAATGCAGTAGTTTCCTTAGTTATAAACAAATTAATGTTTGAAATAGAATACTTGAATACTACGGTGTATATTATTAATTAAAAATCATACAATTATAGACCTAATAATAATGATTATTACGTTTACTTTTGGTCATCCTAATAATCCTAAAATTTTATTGCAATATATATTAATTACTTGTATATAATTTTTTCCTAGATGTAAAATTTTATCAATATAAAGTTTTTTTTATAAATTATAGTTATATGATCATAAAAAATAAATATCTTAATATTATCAATAATTAATTATAATAAAAATGCGTTTTTTATGTTTTAACAAATATCTCTTAAAAAATATTAATTTTCCGTGATAATAACTAAAAACAAAAATGTATTAATTTTTATCACTAAAGAGTTTCCCGACAATTATTAATATAAAAATGACTGAAGCTCAACCACAATCAATTATTTATTCTTCCTGTTGACTTACATTTATTCATTTAAAGTAAATTAAATAAAAGTTTGCTTCTTCTAAAACTGTAAGTGAGATCGTTATTGTCAAACATCGTATATTTTTTGAAAGATAGTCTTCATTTAAGATTGCATATAAATATTATATACAATCGAAACATTATATATGTATAAGAGTTTAGTAATATATTCTCAAAAGAGGGTTGATGTCAGGCAGGCGGCCGGTCTTAAAAACAATTAGCCAGAACTATTCACAACATGTAAGGCAGACCCTGGCTAAAGCTGGGAAATTGCCAGGTAGAAGAAGAAGTGTTTAGTAATGTGATCCGATGCTTTCAAAATGCTTTAGCGTGTTTCCGTTATATCTAACAATGTTCGATTGCTTTGTGATTGATGTATTTCTCAAATTTTGACACGACCCTTAGCGACCTATTTCGCCTTGACATCGGTATGAGAAAATTGGTAATTTATGATACGGTATGCCAACGTCTCGTCATAGTGTGTTTGATAAATATGAATTATTCTATACTTATATATATATGTATAGCAAATTGTTATATTTAGCCTGAGAAAATACAATACAATCAAAACAGTACGAATATAATAGTAAACTAAATCACAGTGAAATGATTGAAATCTGTATACGAATTGCAATTACGTGTTCCTTTAGTTACAATCCTTTCTTACTCAAGACATACAAACGCAAGGAATGTCTTATATATTTGTACTTGTAATACATGCAAAAAAAATTTTTTTAAATTAATTGCAGGACTTTAAAGAAACTCTTACCCCTTCAACTATTTAGTGTGACAACATTCCTATAAAATAAAACAAAGCATCTTTAAAGTTACCAACAAATAATCGTTCTAACAGAAAAAATATGAACGAATAAAACCAATAATATACAGGGTGACCGGTGAATTACTATCAATATTTAAGGAGAGTACTCGGTACATGATTCTCATTCGAATTATGTAAAAAAAATAGGCACTTAATTTTTGACAAAATTTCCGTATAAATAAATAAAGTGTGGAGACGTTCCAAGTGTTCCAAGTGTGGACGCGTGCGGCGGCATGCTGATACAACACTACGCCGCCAAACGCGTATGTGTGAGTGCGTGTGTATACCTAATCTGTAGGGTGTTCACTCGATGCGTAATTAATTACATAACTTTTGGTTAACTTTACTTAGAAGTTTATTAATATTTATGTTATATTAATTTTTATTTTGTCATATATGATCGTCAAATATCACGTCCTCAAGTATCGATAGTAATTCACCAGTCACCCTGTATAGAGTTCTTCTTGATATTTATATCATACTATGTAGAAGACCTGGCGAACTTCGTATCACCCCATAATCAAGAAATATCTATTACGTTTTTTATTTATATTTTTTGAGTTTTCCTGTAAGCCATAAAACTCCGTGTTTTGAAGTGCGACAGAATGATTGACATATTAGTTAGTTGTCAAATGAATAAATTTTTTTTAGCTTTTATACCTTCCCTTAACCTCCACGAACATTTCAAGACTAAGATAAGATAAATCCATTCAGCCGTTCTCGAGTTTTAGCGAGACTAAGGAACAGCAATTCATTTTTATATATATAGAAGATAATTTCGTAAACAAAAAGACAAACCAAGCAACATTATATAGTTGTAATTCTAATATAATTTAAAACTTAAATTAAAATAACCTTCCTAAAAAAAAACATGCATTTTTTAATACATTGTTTGTCTTATTTGGATATTGCTCTAACATTAAACATTAATTATGGTGCAACCCGCTTTGCTATTATATCTCGGGTATCCATTTAATTCTCGTGGGATATATAATATACATGACACTGATTGATGACACTTTTTATCGAACTGATAAGTAAAATGAAATAGATATTTATTCTTCATACAAAAATTTGAGTATATACACGATTTTCGCTATAATATATATATATATATATATATATATATATATATATATATATATATAAAGGGTGTTTTAAATATTAAGTTTAAATAACACAAATTTCTTATTCCTACCCTTTAGAATGATGACATCTAAAACTGTTACGAGTATTTTACTAGGCGTATTTTTTTATTTTTAAAATTCACTCCCAGCGTTTCGGTCACTTTACAGCAACTGTGATCACGGACAGGTGACGTCACGGTTACTGCGGAATGTTAATCCGAAAATATTAGTTTCATTTAAATGGTAGGTGTTCATTAAACGACATAACTAATTAAAAGAGACGTCATCTAATAAAAACGATCATTAATAACACAAAAGTTTCGAAAATCGAAAATATATTTGAAATTAATTCTAATTTCAAAGACTTAATGTAACTCTGTATTTGACATTTTATGTCTATCTTTCCTTTTTTTATGTTAAAGGTGGCAAACGAGCAGACGGCCAACTTGATGGAAGGTGGTTACCGTCACCCATGGACACCGCAACATCTTTGTTGCGGATGCGTTGCCAACCTTGTTTTTTAGGGATAGGGAGGGGTGGGAATAAGGAAATGGTAGGAAAGGGTGGGAACAAGGAAAGGGTAACCAGCTCTCTCAATCATCGGACGAAACGCAGCCATTAAAGGCTACTCACGCCGATCTTCTGTGAGAGGGTGGTACTTCCCCGGTCGAGCCAGCCCATGTTCGAGCTGTAGTAACTGACCACAGCTAGGCTATCATATAATCTTATTATAATTTATCTTCCACAAACTTCACTATAAATTCTTTTGGATGTTTAAGTCATGATCTGAATCGTTTCATGAATATAAACTTATACGGACACAAAAAAGCAAACATACAGTTTTATTGACATACAAGTTTATTATATTAGAGGAAATGATGCTAAGTCCAAACCTCTTTATAATGTAACTTCTTAAATTGCTGTTTTATATATATTTTCTTTGTGTAAAGCACATATTCAAAGTTGACATAATGGTTAAAGGTTATTGACTTTGCACGTTCAAATCTTGTTATTATAAAATAGTTCATAAATATTTATTGACTGGAACGTCTACCCTCTTTCCCTAGTTTTGTTTTGAGTTGCATTTTATGGATAAAGCAATTCTAATATTTATTGCTCGTTTTAAAGATATTTTAAAATAAATTATGCATCTGTTATAAATTTTATAGTATATACAATATTGTATGGTATATACATTATACATTTAGCTCAAGTGGAAAAAGAGAATAATGTAGTTATAATCTCAGCATATTATTGAATTTGCTAAGAAAACAATATTTAGTTTGTTGAACACCACAAGTATAATTTAAAAAGAGATATTTTAATGATATTTCTAAATAAGGTGGTTGTACAATCAGTCGTATTCGTAAGGCACTTCTCTTACAGGTTTCTAAAAATAATAATGAAATATATTATTATATCAATTCAATTTTATATTATATACTATTTTACTTTTAGTATTTCTATTTTTATTTTATCACTTACACCACATAAACATGTTGATAAAAACAACTGATGTCACGAAATTCAAAAATATGGAAGGATTCAAAGAAAAATTAACT